TTTTGCTCTTGTCTTGGTGTTTCTTGGGTGTTCAAACTTCAACACCAGGGGAATGAGACCTGATCCTGATTTTCAAGGCTGTCTCCCTCCTGCCTCAGCATCTTGAGTACGAGGTCGACAGGTGCACACCACCATGCCTGACCCAGAGTCCTTAAGTTTAAGTAGTGAATCTTCTGGCAAATATGATGTGCAAAGCCTTGTAAAGTCCAGGACCAAGTCTGCCTCCATCAAAAATATGTTTAAAGAGCTTATCCTGTTCTAGCAGCCTGTGAGTGGGGTTGGAAGGACCACAAGGCAGGCTGGCTGTTGGCATGGATCTGAGAATGAAGTTTGTGTCCCTGGCTTGACTGGTAGGGTCACATTCCTAATCCTACAGGAGGGCTTGTGCTGTCACATATTGACATTCCAAAGGTATCACGAAAATTACAAACCACTCTGAAACTGTATGAAGAGTACTCTTGAGGCTTGAATGTGCTTTTGACCCCATTTTTTTTTATCCTGTTTCCTCAGGAAGGGGCCTGAAAGTTGAAGATAACTCCATTTGAAATTCAACCCGAACTGAGAGGAAACATTATTGACTGCATGGACTCACATATATTCATTGAGTGATTATTGAACACCGGATGCTGGGTAGGGGTAAGACTATGTCTTCCTGACCCCATATCCCTGACTGTCCACCAGAGTCTGATGGGGGGAGGCTAACAAAAGGGAGAAAGTGCCAGACGCAAGCAGGGTGGGGGAAGGTATAAGCAAAGGAGAGAAGGGTAAAGCTGAGCTCTTCTACAATGAAGAATCCAAAGGGAACTTAGCATGCGAGGCCTGTAAATAGATCAGAGTGATAGGCGAGGGAGGACTGCTTCTCTTCGGAAAGCCCAGGCCTGGATCAGACATCTTGCTCACACTCACTCTTTCATGCCCAAACCCAGACAGAATCTCCTCCTGATATTGCAGGTAACATCTACAGGCAATGGTGAAATGGAAGATTCCAGGGCTTTGGAAGGGAAACCTGAAAGGGGAGGGGAAGTCTCTGGCTTAGAACTCTCCAGGGAAGGGGTTCAGACCACTTTGTAAGCCAGCCAAAAGCAACTTCTGTCTGTCTCTCATTGCTCAACCTCAGTGACGTGTAGAAGCCCTCAGATACCTCCTTGTTTTGGTTGAACTATTTCTCCTCAAGAGTTCGCTAGTTCTGTTCACTACTTTGATCGTGCTGTTCTCCTCCATTTAACTGTGTCCTTAAATGTCATCTACTCCTGGAAATCTTCCAAGGGTCCCACAGTGGCTTGTGCCTCTCTCCCTGACAAACAATTGACCACATTGTCAAAAAATCCTGCCTCCTGCCCCTTGGATGGCCTTTGTCCTCCTCTAGGTCCTAAGCTCTTGAGAGAAAAAACTGCTCCCTCTCCTTTCTCCTCCATTTTAACTTCATCTAGAGGATGTTGAATAAGTAGGTGTTGGATTCATAACAGGAAAAGATACATCAATTCATTTTCTTCCCTTTTGAGTTTTTAGGGCTCAAGAGAATGAGTGAGGAGAAAGGCTGGGAACTTCCACAAGGGAAGGACAATCCCTGGGGTATCTGTTTCCCATACTTGCACCAATGTTGGGGCTACCATATGTACTGTATTGTACTGTAGTGAGGCAGAGCTAAGTTGAGGTAGTCTTCCAGGTTTGAGACATTGAGCTTCTGAGAACAGGAAGTGGGTCTTTCTTAAGTAGTGAATAGTCATTCTGTGTGTCCCTCTGTCACGAAATAGCATGGGGAGGAGTGATGAGGATTGGCCCCAAGGTAACTGTATCAGGCTCAGACTTTCTCACCGAGATGTTGAATGCTGAGATTCCTGGAGATACATTCCTAAAGAAAATGTTTTGTGTTTGGTTCCCCATTCCTTAAAAGAGCTTAATTTCAATCTTTCTTTCCTTCTTCTTTTTTATTTTTTATTTATTTTTTTATTCCTTTTATGGTTATGGGAGTTGGATCCAGGGCCTTGTACATTCTAGGTAAGTTCTGTGTCACTGAGCTGCACCCTCAGTCCAATAATTTAATTTCAATTGTTGTCAAAGTAATACATTTCTTTAGTTAAAAAGTATTTTATAAACCACCTAAAAGAAAATGAGGCAGCCCTTGCTTTACCTGTTGCCATTCCTCAGTTCTGGTCTGACCCAATTTCTTTCAAACTCATTTAGCTGTTTTGGTTTTTTTTTCTGATTTTTATACCCTCCTCACCACCAAATTCTAAGTAGTATGCCAATGCTACTATTTTTGATACTATCTATCTGATGACTTACTGTTACAGAGGATGTATCTCTCTTAATCTCATCCCTATATAAATTCCCTCCTACCATCTCCTCAGCTGTTATTTTATCAGTGAAGATAAGGTTCTGTTACATATAGCAGAACTCAAAATAACTGTTTTAAATAGAAATTTTCTTCTCTCTTATGTAAAAGAAGTTGGGAAGTAGGCTGATATGGTGGATCTTCAGGCATCTGAAAGGATGCTTTCTCATCCTTCTTGGCTCTGACTTCCATCTTGAAGGAGTAAGAAGTGCTGAATTAGCTAGGATAAATTAGGTTGTGCTGCAGTAATGAACAGCCCCCAATTTCTAGCTAACAACAAGAGTTACTTTTTTACTCTCTCATATAACATACCCATTATTGGCTGCTGCTCTCTTTCTTTGACCTTCCTTGACCCAGGTTGATTGTGTAATTTCTGTCTGGGGCATTGTGGACAGATACAGGGTAGATACACAAAACAAGTAAAGTAAATCACACACTATACCTCTTGATCTTCTTCTTGACAGTGACTTGTGTCATTTCTACTTATATTTTATTATATAAAATGAGTCACATGGCCAATGAGTCAATAGGATAAGGAATGATCATTTTCTCTTATGGAGGGCCAGTGAATATTTGTGAATGATCTTATCATCTGGAACAGGAGGGAAGGGAAGAGGCAGCTCATCTTCCAGCAAAATTAGCCTTTAT